TTTGATATTTAAAAAAAAATATTAACCATGGAATATTGTTCCAAATATTTCCAAAATTAATTAGTTTTTGTAACCAAAACCTACCTTTCCCCATCATCTAGTGCTGTTATTCTTCATTTTATATTAAAAATATGTAAGTCAGACAGAGAGAAAAAGTTAAAAATAGGAAAATTATATTACAGACAGTAATTATATTACAGAGCAAAAATAAGCACATAGCTGAAAGGAAGTAAAATGAAGTGAAAAGCCCTTGTGAAACCCATCTTCAGAGACAGCAGAGGCCATTTACTCCTTTGCAAGGTACCGCTTTGGCAGGACTGTTGTCCTTAGGGGCTGAGAGAGGAAAACTTGCAGGGAACAGACAGCCGGAAAGAATTCTTTATTAAGCAGTGAATGACAATGTTTGAATGAATATGTTTGCCATGCAGAGGACATTATTTTAGTATTGTGCTTGAAGCCTAGCACAGACATGACAAGCACTGAGAAACCCTGGGCAGGGATTTAACAGCTCTGGCATGGTTTCAAAGTTGTCTGAAAGTAACCAAACCTTCACGATTTGAACAGCAGTGTATGGTGAAATCAGCACACAACTCCTGTCCCCAGAAAGGGACATACCAGCACCTTATGCACTTTGTGTATTTAGCTACAGATACCAAGCTGCCAGAGCACCTGTATAGGCAAACGTATGTGAAATGGGTCCTGTCAGAGAGAACGTGACTTAAACTCATAGCCAGCACTGTGCCACCACTAGCTGGGGTCTCAGGAGGCTCTGTAATGAATGCAGGTTTGCGCTTGACTAGAGCTTGGGCTAGGAAATTTTGAAAACAAGGGCCCCAGGAATTTGGTCAGAGTTAGAATAAAATCATGAGCCTATAATGATGCTAAATGGTTTAGTGTTACTGAGAGTTTTTCTGTTTCTCTTTAGAAGTAAAATGAAGCTTGTGACCATTTTAGTAAATGCAGTCCCACAGAAACTCTGCCAAGGGTACGAATTACAGCCTCTGTGCTCGAGGGCCAAATTTGATTTATGAACACATTCTCCCTACCCAGATTCCCCACCTGGTTTCCAAAGGTTGCTGATGGAGCGTTATGCAGCTGTTCCCTTACTACCTGAAGGTGTCTCTGTTTTAATGTGAAATGAAAGAACTTATCAAAGAAGCACACCAGGGTCCTCTGGAATGAAAGATATAATACACAGTGCCATATATGGCACCAGAGAAAACAGGGTATAAAGTCAAGTCTCTCACACCTTTGCAGTACATGGCACATCCTTGGCAGAGGAGCCATCGCTCAAGTGCCCACAAGCACTGTATGGCTTCAGATCTGTACCTTGGCCTCACTTGCAGTGTAAGGTGGTCAATGATCAGCACAACAAACATTTGATTTCTATTTAATGTAAACTGAGGTCTTAAACCTCACCAATTATACCTATACCTTGTATATGGCTTTTGCTATAATAATGGCTAATTATTACCAATAATGTAACCAATACTGTTAATAGCATGTAAGCCACCCTACAACTTTATAAGTATTTTTTTATTGTTTGCACGCTATTTTAGATAAGTTTGATATTTTAAAGATTTTTAAAAAAAAAATCACTACCCCAGAGCTCAAAATTAAACCTGCTTTTGCAACATGAAAGCCCAAGGATGATGAATAGTCCCACTGAGGCTATCAATGATTTTCTAGGAACAAGGCAAGAGCCGGCAAAATCAAGCTCTAACATGCACTGAAAACATCACCAAATAAGATTTTGCTTCAGCATGTATGCTAACAGAAAGCAGATTATTATCATTTCATGTGTAATATCTATGATGACTGTATAAACAATGACAAATATACACAAATAATTATTACTCCTGCAAGAGCTGCATTATGGCTGGAAGGTCTCTGTAGCATGTGCAGCTGGTTAAATCTCACTTTGAGAATGCAGGGTTCTGCAAATAGCCTTTTATGCAAGATAGTCAAGTAATTTTTTTAAGGCTCCCTGACTGCCAGCTTATGGCAGCCACAGTTAGTTCAAACTTTCTTTAGGATTCATTTCATGCCCTTCTTTCTGTTAATATCCCTGAGATCAATCCTTTCTCTAATGAATAGCTGACCTATTCTTCTTTGATTTGCCATTGATTTCCTCTGCTTACCTCCCAATGCTTTGCCTGTTGATTAAACGCTCGACATAGGAATGCCTCAAATTTCTGACTTCTGAGTCATCCTCTCATGACTTGAACAGCTTGAAGCCAGCTTCAGCTCCCCGACATCATTAGTGAAAACTCCTTTTGTTTGCAAACTCTACAAACAACCCATTTCTCTCCAAGCTTAGGTGCTGCCTGTGAACTAGACAATAAATACTAGCAACAAAATTATCTCCTATACACATTGCGATAATTATTGTAAGAAAAGGAAAGGGATACTTTTTCTAAGACAGAGAAGGCAAACCCCAGCTTTCCCTTTTGCACTAGAAAATCTTTATGTCTATGTGCAATGCAGACAAGACCATGAGTGAAGACATCTGCTTATGCAAAATTTTATTTTTGCATGGGGTCCCTCTGACTCCAGCATAACTCCGCATGAGAGTTTACAAAAGGGGCTCTATTTTCTAAAGACACCTGGTTTATAAGAACCATTCCACAAATCCTCCTCTCCAGCTTCCACTTTACAGAGCAAGCTGGATGAAACTGCTTATCTGCACTGCAAGAAAGACAGCTGAAGCTGACCCTTTGAAAACTTGCAGCGGTATTTCCTTGGAACACAGATACCTTCAGTCTCCAACACTTTGATGTCTTCTTCCAAAACAAACAGGCTGACATTATCTCCATTTTCCTGCAGTTCTGATGTTTCTCAAAATGCAGTTTGTTTTCTCCAGGGAGACACACAAGGTCTGCCAATCCTATGAGACCAGCTATGCAGGATAATTGCTATACTTCCAATTAAGGTAATCAGACCTGACATTCTGTACTATATTCCCTTCTGATCATGTCTGCACTGGGAGCATCACCTGCACATGACCCACACTTTTCTTACTCTCCAGCTCAGGTTCTGTGGGAAGGAAATAGCCCTAAGGTAATAGCCCTAAGGTTTCTGGTGCAAATGATGAGGACAGAAGGCAAATGTGGCATGCCGAGAAGCACACCCCTGTCTTAGCAGCCTAGATGTGGTGCTTTCCTCTTGTCATAGCTAAAGGACCCTATCACAGAAACTCGAGCCATGAGTTTTTAAGCTACTCTAACATTTTCTTTTTCAAATGATCAAAACCCAGAAGCACGCAGCAACTGTTCAGAGCTGTTTGCTAACATTTCAAGTTCTCCACTAGCTGTCAGAGCATGACAGAAAGTCCTGCTGTGACCAGAGTACTATGATGGCTCTGCTGGAGGCTTTATACATGGTAGTGGGCAGGTTAAATAAGAACATGTTCAACAACAGAGCCTACACTTGGGCACTAGATTCTACGCCTTTGCATTTAATCCTGCAATCCATGCCAGAAAGTAAGTGAGGAAATGTAAGTGCTATTACAAGATGCTAACTCCAGCACTGGCTGGACCACTCCATAAGACAATCTAATTCACCAATATGACAGACCACTCTTCCAGCAAAAAAATCTGGAATTTTCAGTCCATTTAGTGAGACTGACCAGTTTAGCAGTCTGAAATGCTCCAGCACTGGCTCAAAGAAGGTGCTACCGCCATGAGCAAAGGGAATGAAGGAGACAAAAGACAGCAAGGAATAAAAACAAGAGGACAGTGAGACATCTTTCTATGGACAGAGGGAAGCTGTCTTGACAGCACAGCTGCCCATGAAACCATGTGTTAGGCAGCTCAGAAAAGCATTAGAAACCACTGGCATGCTGAGAGGGTAACTGCATAAATCAGGCTGGACTTAACAAAAGGACAAACCATGAAACACTTAACTTTGGCCACTGGGAATCAACTCTGTTCATCTAGAACCTACAGCCCTGGAACCATTCCTGAAAGGAGGTGCCTACCTATTTGCTCAGATAATGACTAAGATACTGGTATTTTCTCCCAGAAGACTGTTGGGAGAAGAGAAGGCTTGGTGACGAGATGACCCCCCCACCCCGTATCACAGAGCAGCCTCACTGCTACAGTCCAGCTGGGAAGAGGCAAAGGTAAGTCGTTGTCCCTGTCAGCCACACCAGCAAGGCTGAGATTTTAGCCAGTCTCGTGTCCAACTTAAAATGCAAAATTAAAACTGGGAGCAAATACAAGTGATCTGGTGCCCTGCTTCCCCTCACTCTGTCAGGTGGCCACATCATTCCAGCAAGTCAGGCTTGCTCTTGTCATCCCTCATGGGCAAATCTCAACTCTTTTCCTACAGAGTAGTGCAACACTGTGTGAAAGCCTTCCCACCGGCTCCCCTTACAGACCCCTGCCATCCCAGTTCCCATGCTGGCTGCACTCTCACATGCAACTGGATATGTGGGGAAATTGAGCTATGGTCTATTCGTGAGGAACAGGGAGCAACACTACAGAACTTCAGATGATGTCAGCCTTCTTTCAGAAAATTACTACATTAAGAAAAACAAATTATATCACAGAAGAGGGAGGGAAGCAAGGGAAGCAAGACGGTTTATGCTATGTGTGCAGCACAAGCACCTCCTTCCCGAGCACGGTGACTCCCGTGCCCCTCAGGGCGCCTCGCTTTCCCAGATCTGATCCCAAGTCTTCGATTGTATCTTCTTACGCTTTGTGCCGTCTCCCCCTGCCAGCACCGCCCAGCCAACCTGCCCGCGGCAGAGCCATCCGGACCGAGTTCTAGCGACTTGCTGTGATCACTCTTAATTACAATTTCCTCTACGCAGACTTCATCGCTGTCAGTGCGGTGCACTGATTACCCGCCGAGAACATCGTCTCCAAACCTCGCGCCTGCCCCACCAGCATCTCCCCGTCACCAGCCCACACGGGGGCTAACCCCGTGCCTGCCCCTATACACAAACACACCGCCCGTCCCGCCCTCTCTTTTCCCCTCCCCGTGTCCCGCCCCGCCTAGGTCCGCCCCACCGCCGGTCCTCCTCCAGGGCTCCGGCGTGCGCTGGATGCTGCATCGGAGGGGACGGCGGAGCTTCGCGGCCGGGGCCACCCCACGGTAAGTGCACGGGCTCCGCCGTCGGGACAGCGGCGCAGGGGGGTCCTGGGGCGCCCGTGTCCCTCCGAGGTCCCTGCGGCAGCAGGGAGGCGGGCGCCGTCCCGGTGAGCTGCCGGGGGACAAAGGAGGCGGAGATGGGTCCCGGGTGCGGGGAGCGGTCCCAGTGGAGCCCGTGGGCGCTGTGCGGCTGCGGGCGGCGGGACCCGCGGAGCGCCTGGCTGCGCCCGCCACCCGGGGCGAGGGGATGGTGCGGGCGAGGGCGCTCGGACGGATGTGCGCTGCCCGCCGAGCCGGGAGAGGCTCCGTGCTCCGCCGGGCGGCAGTTGGTCCCAACGCGCGGCAGCGGCTGCGAAAGTGTATTTACAACTTTGCGGCTGAAGGGCGGTGCGAGCTGCGTCCGGAGTGGTCTCCAGTTGTGTTACGTTATCAGGGGATTTTCCCGTCAGAGCCGCCGCCGTGGGTGTCCCTTTGCGATGGTGGCTGCGGCTCCCGAACGGAGGCAGCGGGGGCGGGCAGGCACAGACTGAGGACAGGAGGCGACGGGGCTCTGGAGGAGTTTGGAGTCGTGACAACTCATCAGTCCCTCTGTGTCGTGGACTGGGCGCCGCCGGTGGGTCTCGCCGGTGCTAGGTGGTGGGGTGATGCTTGAGCGGGACCAGCAGTACACCGGCTGCGCGACGGGAGGCACCGGGGCCGGCTGCGGCCCCAGGGAGCTCCCGTGGGCCACGCGATGGCACGAGTGTGGGACGCGTCCCAGCTGGCGCTCGGATGGCTGCCACCTGCCTCGCAGGTGCAGGAGAGTGACAGGGCCACGGCCCCGCCGGTTCCCCCGTGCTGCAGTACCTGGGGCAGGTGAGCTGCGTGGGTCCAGCACTGGGTCGGCACCTCCGCGGGGGCAGCCTCGGGGGCGAGGGGCTGGAGGCATCTCGTGGGGCTGGTCTGAGTGGTCTGACAGCCGCCAGGGACTTTGGTCTGCCTGCTCTGGGCGGGACAGGGAGGAGATGAGTGTCCCAGCAGGTGTGTGCGCGCAGAAGTGAGTGGGCGTCAGAAGTGAAAAAGTCTCCATACGTTTTTGTTTCTCCACTTCTTGGAATTTTTGGTAACGATTTACGGGGAAAGGCTCTATGTTTCCTGTGCTGAGAAATCGTCATCATCTGCACCAAGAGATGTTTCTCCTGCTGTTCGGCAGTGACAGGCTTTCAGGTTAACTCCCCTGTGGCATTTAAAATGCACATCTGTGGTTTTCCGCCACACCAGGAAACTAACGTGTTTTCTGAACCTTGTCCCTTCTTCAGAGTACTGCCATGATGCCCAGGCCCTGACAATAAATACTTCAAAAATGTTAAAAAAAAAAACCCAAAGCAACAAACCACAACCAATGTTCGGACATTGGTGTCCCATTCATTTATTTAACTTCTTTAATTTTTATTTTGTTCGTGGTAAACTTGGAATGACAACATTCAGTGGGCCTCACTGTTGTTTGTTCCTTCCATTTAGTTGTTGTACATTCTTTATCAAAGCGTTCTGTTTTCAGTACTGGTTATGTTGACAGTCTGTGTAGTAGTCAGTGATTTGGCTTCAGATGAGGAATGCCACATCAGAAGAAACTGGAATCTAAAGGGGGGGGGAAGAACAGGGGAAGTTTTCTTGCAGAGATCACCTTAAGGAAAAAAAAAGGGAATAAAACAAAAAAGAGTAAGACAAATATAAGCAAAGATAAGTCTAAACAATGCTATTGAAGAACATAAGTTGTAGTGATTATTTTCAGTGATTTACCAAAAAATACTGTCTGTGCTCTTTGGAGAGGTTTTTTTCCCTTAGAATTTTCATTATTGTTGTTTATATGAACATGATAAACTGGGATAGACACCAGTGACACAGAACACCATTTATATTTACATGTGGTTTTCCATTCTAAGTGTTTTTTTAATCAGAGAAGTTTTTAGATATCAGGTAAGGGCCATGTCATTAGGGGTTTTGTGGGTGATTTTTTTTGTGGGGTTTTTGTTAGTTTTTTTGTTTGTTTTTGGTTTTTTTTATAAAAAGCAAAGTTGATAGTGCCCTCAGGCTATAGCACTCTGCTGTTCCCAACGCTGCAGGTAAAAAGCAGATGAATCCAGTGGTTAGCTTTGTATCAGATAGCTTTTGTAGTAAAGTCCTTGCCCTACTGTTCCTGCAACACAAGACAATGTAAATGACTTGCATGCTTATTGTGCTCCAGGGTTACACTTCTTTTCTTGCAGAAAGCCCTGTAATACTGCACTGCTTCTTGATTATCTTGTTGGTCTTTAGCAGTGATACCTTAATTCTTCGTGCGTGGCTGGTACCTGAGCATGGACAGACAGTGGGCTTGGCCCAAACAAAATCCTCTGACAAGGAGGACCTGCTCCCTGGAGAATTGCAGGAGGAGATAATTTACTTCTTGTTAAACCATTTTTTATGCTTGCTTTTTCTTTTTTTTCCCCTCTATTTCCTCTTTTTCACAATTCTGTATCACTTCAAAAAATGCAGCACTCTCTTTAAAGCTGGTTTGCTTTTTTTTTGTTCTGTTTCTTTTTGGTCTGTGTCTTCCCATTTCCCCATTGCTTTGGTGAAGTTGATGTCTGGCAGTGCTGTGTGCAGTCTCTGAAATTGCATCTAATCGTAAAGACCCTGCTGTTAATTTTATCAAGGTATTGGCAGATTGGCATTTTCACACTTGTAATAGAGGCAAGCTGTGTTCCAGGTGGAGTTTTATCTATTCTTTTTGTCCACTTTATGTAAATCAGTATTCCTCTCTGCTCTGAATATGTTCAAGACTAGCTGTGCACTTCAGGGGGAAAAAGAAGCAAACTGATGCAGAAGCTGCCTAGTTGGTCTGAATATTTAGGTGATGATTCAAAAGCCATGAAATCACCAGTGGACTTTCTCCTTCCTCTGGGGAAGTAAGCCAATTTTTTTTTACTGGTTATTGCTGGTAGTAAAGCTATTCCTGCTCAGAAGAGTTTGTTATGTGATATATTGTGATAAAAAAAGCGTGTCTGTCTTTATTGGTCCTGTAACTCAAGGTATTACTTTTTTTTTTTTTAAATAAAGGCTTCATAGTCTGCTTACTTGTAGAACTATTACAAGATCTTGGTGAGAACAGAAAATGAAGGAAGAGTTTATTTATACTTTTTTAGACGGCTCTGCAAAATACTTCTGGAGTCTTGGAGATCCATTCCAAATTGGTCCAGCCTAGGTCAAGTATAAAAAAATACTATCGCTGTGAAATAACTTGTGCAAAGACAGGCTTTTAGAAGATTATCTCTCAGCTGTTGTGCTTGGGGCAAGAGTATATTAGAACCACTTGGGAGGTACCCTGTTTATAGCCTTGGTAGACTAAAAAAAAAAAAAAAAAGGAGTATGTTTCCAGTTGGAGAATTAACCGATAGGCTTTTGAGTCAGGAGACCTCTTGCATTTGCGATTTGCATGATATAGAAAGGTGCTTCTCTTCTGAGTTGCCAGTAGAGAGACAGGTCTTGCTGCTGCTCTCGCTGCTCTTCCTAAGCTTCCCAACAGTTGCAGTGGCTGTGAAGGAAACCTCACTTTCCCTTATTTTAAAGAACTTGGAGCAGCACTGTGTCTGTACTTTTGCTTTCCTGTTTCCCATAGATAGAAAAGACGAATGTTCTGTACTAAAGATTGCACTACGGTAGCAGAATTGCCAAGCACTGGAGTGCTAAACTGAAGTATCTTCTGTTTGTGTTCTTCGTACTGTACCTTACTGGCGTTGTCTTTACAGCACTCCTGGCTCTGCATATGTGTGCACTTAAATGAGATTTCCCTAAGGCTCCATCTCAAAAGAGACATGTCTGTGTGTCTGAGACGAGGCAAGCTTGCTGTTCCGGAATGGCTATCCAAGCAATTCACTTCCCTTAACCTTCTCAAGATCTCATGCGATGCTGTGTTGGTGATCCAGCTGAGAAAATGGAGCTTGGCACTTTTGAGCAGGCTTCCTCTGCAGCTGCTCCATGTGAGGTGTAATGGATACTGAGGCTGGCTCACACCCTATCCTGTATTTTTGCTGTTTTTTCTTATGCTTCTGCATTTCCCTGGGCCAGTCGATACCTCAAAGTGCTACTTACTCTTAAATTTCAATTACTATGCTTGATTTATGAAGTATGAGGAAGTCTTATAAGTGATTGGCATTCAATAGACAAGTCCATTAATAGGTTATGCAGAAGTAAAGAGATTCATGATGATGAGAAACTACATGTCAGTAGTCAGATGCAATAGGATACATACTACTACTTTTACCTGAATTGCATGATCTAGCTGCAGACTTTACTATTTGGGCATTCTTTGAAACATGTACATTGCTAAGTTCTGCATATGCTTCTGATAAAATAATATATTTTAAAAGGCTGCCTGGTTTTGTGTACAAAAATTCAAAGCCACTTTCCATCACTTGGAAGTGATGGGAAAACATAATCTCTGTGAGATCCTAATTTGTCCTTTTTTGCCTAGAGTCTTTAATACTCATTTGTCTATTTCTCTCAAAGGATTCCTGAATTCAGTTTTGGTTTCAGGAAAATATTAAGTTCAGGTGAGTCATGCTAGGCTGTCCTCAAAGGGAGCAAACTGCTGAGGAGCTTTTTTTCATCCCATGGGAGAGCTGGATGGAAGCGTGGCAGCCACCCACCGTGGTCCTGCCAGTGCTGCCCTGCCCTTGTACTTCCATGCTCTGCAGGAGCACCTCCTTTGGTGCTCTGTCCTCTGGTAAGCCTTTTTCCTCTCCTTGAGGACTAGTTAGTGTGCCCAAAAACATGAGTCAGTTTTACTTTACTTACCAGAGAATGCTACCATCCCTACGTAAGGAGAGTTATCCCTGTCTTTGAGCTTAAGGACTAGGGCAGCCTACAGAGTAGCATAGCAGCATCATCCCAGGAATGAGTGTCCAGGGATTTTGGGAGATCCCTTCTTTCCAACGGCCACATTGTGCGGGATGCAGAGCAGAAGAGTTACGAGCTCAAGAGCATGTTTTGTGTTCTAGCACTCACATGCGCTGCTTGATGTGAGGCAGGAAAACTTCATAGCACAAAGGTGGGGAGTGTGAGCAGTCATGCCTAACTAAGAGCTGTGTCTAATCCTGCAAAGAAGACTAATGAGAAAGCATTTGCCTTGCTATTGTTCAAGCTCAATGTCGCCAGGGAGTGCTGCTTGTACAGGAAGAAAGAAAAAAGTAGGTTGGTTGGTACCTAAGACCAATGCTCAGCGATTTCCCCATCTGTCCCACCTGCTTGGGTTCACAGCCCTGAAGTTTTTGAAGGCATCTTGCATTGCACCTCTTGAAAATCCTGAAGGAAAGGTGGGAGCCAGGCCCATATCCCATCCCTTCAAGAGGACCATGCTCGGACCTAACCTACTTATGGTTAGCAGATGCAGAAGCCTTGCTGCAATTGTATCTCCCGCATTAGGAGGCTGAAGCCAGTTGTCCCTGCTGCCAGTGTTGCATCCGTCCATAGGCAAGTGCATCAGTTCTGGGATCCAGTCCTTCAGAGTACTCAAGTGACTGGGAGGTGCCTTGTTCAGTGGCTTTGAATGGGGTCTTCCTACTAAGTAGCTCTCAGTGTTTGAAGGCAGGTGTGTGTCCCAAGTGGTTTGTGGATACCAAATTTGGTACCTTACGTCCTTGTGGCATCTTTGCCCTTGGATGTGTTATGCTAGTCCTGGAACGATGCTGAGACAGACGCATTTGAAAAGTCAGTGTGTTTCTGGGAATATGCTGCAGGATGTGACCTGGTTGTCCTGACTCTTGGTCACTTGTCACATCATCTGCAGCCATGATGTAAAGCTGTTTAGCTTCAGTCTTGTTTTCTGCCCTGACAAGCAACTTTTTTTCCCCCCTCCCTCCTGACTGATGCATCTTCCCAGAGAAACTTTCATCATTGCACGGGGTAGTCAAAAGAGGTGGGTGGGGTCTTAAAGTTGCTGGGAAAGGCTAATATATGCCATCGTGACATCTTTTATTTACTCAGGCTCTTTATTACTCTGTTTTGCAGATAGTACTGATGCCCTTCAGTGTGTGTCTGAGGGGACAAAAT